CTTATATATATATATACTTATATATATATATATATATATTTGGGATGTACTGAGTACCCATCAACTATCCGGTACCCGACCAGGTTTTCATTACCTGGTGCCAGATACTTGCACCGTACCAAGGTACTGTGCCCGCAATTTCACTGTTAATCATTTTAAGTTAATTAAATGTTAAATGCATGAAATTCAAAGATAATTGTATAAAAAATGTAATTTATTATTCCCATACAAAGTTTTCCTTCAGTAAATAATGCAAGAGTTTGTTTTTATTATTTGTGTTCATAAACGTATCATTTTATTGAAGGATTGTGGAATACGCATGAAGCAGAATAAAATTATTTGTTTACCAATAGCATTAATTATTCTAATGCTATTTGTACCTAATTTAGACACCATTAGAGATTAATAGCCTAATAAATAAGAGCACATTGTAATTGAGAGAATTATTTTGATAAGAAACGCTTAAAGTTTTTTTAATGTAAAACAAAAAAATACTTCTTATTTATATATAGGTTGACAAAAGACTCCTCTGGGAACAATTTATTGCTTTTTATTCACATTTAAAAAACGCGTGTATGAATAAAACTAACCATTAGAAGCTTTAAAATAAATTTTTACTATAAGGCGTCTTTCTCGCGCGATGTAACGCAAGCATTCGCTAGTCTCACAGAAATTTTTTTTCACAAAAACTGTCTAGTCTCCCTTTTTTTTTTTTTTTCTCCAGGAATTAGTATATCTTTTGAGGGCACAAAATTACTAACATACGGAAAGAAAATTTAACATTAAGGACAGAGGAACAGCTCTATGAATCTTGTTCAACTGATGTCATAAAATAACATTTCTCGTAAAATAACAAGTATCAAAACATTAGTAGATTGTACTAAGATAGATCTCATTGCATACCTGCCAACTTTCACTCTTTCCGAGAACGGATTTTCAGAGTGGTTGTAAAACAATAAACGAAAAACAATCTGACTCAAAAATATATTTATATTTTGATCACGTTGAAATTCGCTTGCGCAAGGATTATTATGTTTTCATATATTTATTGTAATTATTTATATGTAGTGGTGGTCAAACTCATTTATAATTATCATTATAATTCAAAAAGTCAATTGGAATAACAAGAGTATTGCTACCACTTTAAAAATAAAAATAAAATCTTACGGAAAATCCGGAAGAGTTGGCAGGTATGTCATTGCACTTAAACTATGTTCAGAGTTATCAGATAATTAAAAATCAAACTCCGGCATTTGAAGCCTTTTTTTTTTTAATTTGATATACCGTCATTTCGTTAAAATATATTTTTTAATATACGGCGTGTTGCATGAATTATTACGAAAAATTAATTAAACACTATTGGTGGATATTAATGTTGATCATTCATCTAAACAACAGTCACCTGAGTCAACTCAAACTTCTTTGACTAGAAAACATTTTTTTTAGAATTTAGTTTTTAGTTGAATATTTGGTCACTAAAAAATTATGCAATTCTACCCAACATATGTTTGTTTGCAACAGCAAGTTTTTGTTGAACCTGACACTCGAATAGCATTTTCGAATGTAAAAAAAAAAAAATTTAAAAAAATGAGCAAGTTTAATGGAATGTTGTAAAATAAATTATTTTATTTTGTTGTTTACATAGCTGTATAAATTTTTAGAGTGAAATTTAACCCCAATCTAGATTGACATTTTAAATTTTTGCAGTGTATGCAAGTGCTCTTCGACAAGTGTTCATTTGGAGGCGAAAGGGAACGACAATCATCATCAAACTTGACCAGAAGAGCTCCTGACTCTGTTAACCTAAATAACCAAAAACTTACAAAAAATTCAATCTGGACAGAACTTTATTTTACTCTTATTTTAATAACAGCCCTCTGCTTTTGGATGTCTCAAAAGTTCAACCCTGTTCTCTTTAGCGGCATTGCTCTTATTTTTTGGATCATTGCCTTATTTGTGGTAAGCATTAAAAAGATCAGTTGAATTGTCAAATGCTAATTGAAAATTGTATTGCCTCCTATATTTTTCAATATGCCAAAAAAATTGGCAAAGTCTTTATTTTCTGCCCAGTCGAATACTTTTTATGTTCATTACAATTCACTTATGTATATTTCGACTAATTAAAAAATTTACAAAGCATTACTCTAACTGACTCCGGCTTATCGTATAAACCATTAATAAGGCTACTTATAATTAATACACTGAGCTTTTCGCAAACTATTTGATGAATCAACTGAATAAACTAGGAGGAAAGAAAAAACATTGAGAATTTTGATTAATTCTGATAACAGGCTTTTTAGGAATTTTTACTATTCCTTAGGTTTAATTTCTGATTTTTTATATTTTTGTACTTATCAAATTTTTGATGATAGGGGTTTATTAGACAGCAAAATACTTTTCGTTTATTAAGTAGTGCCGTTTCGTGCATGTCGTGCGCAAAAAAATATTTCTGTTACCAGCGTTCTGTAGCAATGTGAGCTATCATGTGACATTTCGCACGTGTTCTTGTCCACAAATATATTCTACTTTCACGCATTCTAAAATTTGCAACGATTGCATTTTATGAAACGTATTATGATTATGATTTTTGATTTGTAAGCATTTCATTCAAATTATATACTTGATTAGATTTGTATTTAATGCCTAGGCATTGTATAAGACTTGCCGAAAATGTATGAAAATATTCATATTTCACACATTTTCTAGGTTTAGCTTAGAAAGCCAAATGAAAAACCGGCAATCTTCAATTAGTTTTGAATTTAATGAAGTGTAATTTTATTTAAGTCTAAACAAGTGGATTAATTTTAATTTCTTATTTTTATCTAAAAATTGCGTTTTCCCTAATCAGACAAAAAAATTTGTTTTGTTATAACCTTCAATTTTACTTCTGTGTTATGAATATATATGTTACCGGCAAAGTATAAAACGCCGGCATTCTATAGAATGCCTAGGCAATGTATATAATGCCGGATGTTTTTAGGCAAGGTATGAAATATGCGAAGTATTACATACTTTCCCTAGGCATTGAATATAATATCTAGGCAATCTATAGAATGACAAATGCTATTTAGGCAAAGTACAAAAAAAAAGTCCTGATGAGATTATTATGTGCATTTTTGAAAATTAAAATGTTATTCTGAAAAAATAATGTGAATGCCACTAAAAATAATTTATTCAAAATGCGTAAAGAGAAATGAAAGTTGCACAAAACATAATTGGGGAGATGTTCGTATTGTGATCTGTGGCAGAATAATCGCCAAATCTTGGAAACTTCCTGGCAGTGGCCTGCGAGAAACTAAAAAAAACATCACGAAAAGGGACCAACTCAAAAGGTATAACTCGTAGCCACCCCCGGGTAAACATCCACATTTTTTTTCTTCTTAAATTTGCAAGTTTAAAACCTATTTGGTACCTTGGCGATTGTAGTTGGCGCGACAGACGGAAATATCCCCACATAATTTATGCCTTTCTTTTTAAGAGAAACAAAAAATAAGAAATTGATCTACTTGTTGTAACATGGCAGGCTTCAACGACATTCAGAATTTGACATTTTGGAATGACATTTTTACGAGTCAGAAATGTATTTTATACTTTGCCGGTGTCTCATTTCACAGAATGCCTAGGAAATGTGTGAAATATAAATCGTTTAATACATTGCCGGTTAACTTTAGGCATTGTATACAATGCCAATTCCTTACAATGCCTTAGAATGCCGGATTTCAAACTTTGCCGGTAACATATGTACTATTTTTTTAATGACAGTCTTATTATCTTTTCAAAATAACACGAGAATGTGTGTCATTTATATAGAGGTCTTGTAAGAATCTTTTTTCATATTTTGCCGAAGAAGTATTTGTCACTTAATAGAACTCTTCGGTAATGTAAACAATGCCTAAAGAAATTACGTAATAGCTCCCATATCTGATAAATTGCCTAAAAACGTTTGGCATTTTATTCAATGACCAAGGTTATCTATAGAAATCGTTTCCTACGTTGCTACACAATTATAAATTAAATGTTTGAAATCGCAACATTTCGAATCCTTTGCATCAACATAAAGTTGTAAAATCTATAAAAATCGGTGATAAATGTTGGAAAAAAAGCAAAGCAGGCTCATCTTATTTATAAATAAAGTGCGTCTCTCTATTAGTTTAATAATGAAGCAATCTAAAAATTATATATATATATATATACACAGAAGAGCCATTACACTATGACCACCCTGCTAATAATATGTAGGACCACCTTTAGCCCTCAAAACTGCTAGCACCCGCCGTGGCATTGATTCCACGAGGTGCTGATAGGTAGTCTGAGGTATCTGGTACCAAGCACTCACTTACTGGTTCTGCAATTCCCTCACATTGCGAGGGGGTAGCGTGGCAGAACGAATTTGGTTTTCCAAGTAGAACCACAACTGCTCTATTGGATTAAGGTCAGGTGAGTTCTGGGGCCAAGACTTGACTTGAAAGTCACTGGAATGTTCCTCGAACCAATCCATGACGGTTCGATCTTAATGACATGGTGCATTATCCTGCTGGTAAACACCATACCCCGCAGGAAAAACTGTTCCCATGAATGGGTGAACCCATTGGTAAAGATGGAGGGTGATCATAATGTAATGACTCTTCGGTATATATATATANAGACAGAGTGTTTTATATATATATATATATATATATAATGTAAAACCTGAGTAATTTAACCATTGATGAGAGAAAGAAAGAAAATTTGAAAGAACAATTTGTTTAAATGAATTGTTCTCCTTTAGCCTTTCATTTTGACCAGCTTAAAGCTCAGTTTGCTTCAGTGTTTCATTGCATTTGCCAGAATTTTCCTTCAAAAATTTGTTAACAGGTTTAAGAGTTCATGCTTATGACAGTTCAGTCACTTTATATTTTAATTTTTTTTGTTGAAGCAGAAATTTCAGTGGTTTCTTAATTGCTTACGTGCATATGCATTAGTTTTTGCTTTATTAAGTAACAGAGATTATTGTTGTATGGTATGAAAACATATATGAAATATAACTGTAAAAATTTATTTATCTATATATATATTTCTCTTACACGGCGACAAAAAAAGGCCTCATTACAACTCTCCGAATGGCAGCGCTAAAAAATCGACCAATGATTGCCTCTAAAAATGTCGCATGCCAAATGTGTAGCGGAGGTGGCTCAACATATAGCGCTTTTAAAAACGGAAACTGAAATAACCAGAAAGAGCATTCTCACCAAATGTGATCTCTTCCGAAATTCCCCCTATAAGCTAGGCAGAAGTGAGTAGTCTTTGTCGATAGATCTCTATTTTAGTATTTTGTCGAAAGTGGGTTTTTTTCACGAATTTATATATTACGAATTTATTTGACGATTTTTGATTTATATCACAAATTTGAAGCGTGCTCGAAGATTGGAAGAGAGCATTGATGATAGCTATGAAAGACGTAATGGTGAAAGAAAGCGTAGACGACGTGCTGTCATACAAGATTCTAATAGATTTAACGAATTTATTATTTATTTGAATTTCATTTATTCATTCATTCATTTGTCATTTATTTGAATTCAAATTTATTTTAATGACTTAGTATTTACTAAAAAGTATTTACTTAGTATTTACTTTTTTTAAAGAAAAAGTTGTCATATGGATTTGAATGATTGTTTTGAATTCTCAGAATTTTGTGCATTTGCAATGTACCTAAGTTAGTAACGAGCGAAGCGAGCTTGGTTTGCGAAGCAAACCATATAAGATTGTGCAGCAATTTTCGGGGGTTGGCGAGCGTTAGCGAGCATGGGGCGCAGCCCACTAGTTTATTATGTTTCCTTAATAAATAAAATTTAAATATATAGTTTTCTAAATGTTTTGAAAAAATTTTCTTCAATACAAATTAAAATGATTTTTTCTTTCAGTACTTACATTTGTGCGGGAATGATAGTAAAAAGAAAGCTTCCAGTGCTGACAGAAAAAAGAATGAAAATCCTGAAACTGACCGAAGAGCTCGTGCAGTAAAAAAGCAAAACATTTTCAAATATATGGTGGGGACAGAAATTTTAATGTTCTTTGTTTTTTTGATTCTCTTCACCACGGAAGAGCCCAGAAACGAACTTTTAAACTGTTTTCTTCATATTTGTCTTTGGATCAGTGTAATACTTATAGTAAGTATTGTTAACAAAAAAATCAGTAAACATGTTGCAGGTTAATTGAAAATTGAATTGATTCCTCGATTTTGTAATGTGCTCGAGAAATTGGGACAATATTTTCAGATATGTCTGATACTTTTCAGGCTCATTACAACCCACCTATGTGCCTTTAAATTAATTAGAAAATGAGCAAAGAGTTACTCAGACTATATATGCTTTGGCTTAATGCAAACTGCCTGATCTATCTATTGAATAAATCAGGTTGATAAAACATTGGGTGATATACACTCTATAACAAAAAAATCGACGCACCAAGAAGCAATCATCCGATTGCTTCCAAATTTCGAATGCATGAATGTTTTTAACAGATCAGGCTGGAATGATGCCAACTGGGGACGTATAGGCTTTAGCGACGAATCCCGCTTCTAACTGTGTCCAGACGATCATCGAAGACGTGTTTGGAGACGCACAGGGCAGAGGGGGATCCTGCCTTCACTATTGCACGCCACACCGGCCCTCAACAAGGCATTATGGTCTGGGGCGCCATTTTCTTTGACAGCCGGACCTCTTTGGTCGTCATTAGAGCTACACTTACTGCACAGCGGTACGTCGACGACATCCTAAGACCTGTTTTGCTACCGTTTCTTTTGCAGTTCCCTGGAATGGTTTTTCAGCAGGACAATGTCAGACCTTATACGGCACGTGTTGCTATGAACTGTCTGCAAGCTTGTCAAACTCTTCCTTGGCCTGCCAGATCACCAGATCTCTCTCCCATCGAGCATGTCTGGGATATGATGGGAAAGCGATTGCATCTAGCACGGAATGTTGATGACCTCGTTCGACACTTGGATCGAATTTGGCAGGAAATACCGCAAGAGACCATCCGGGAGCTTTATCGGTCTATCCGACGCCGTGTGGCAGCTTGTATCCAGGCTAGAGGCGGGTCAACACCTTATTGAACTTGTTACTGTAACTCTGCAATTGTTCTGAAATTTTAATCATTTACTATTCTGTACATTGTCTTCCTATCCACCAATTTTCGTTTCAATCGGACAACTCCTTCTTGGTGCGTCGATTTTTTTGTTATAGAGTGTATTTTCTGATTAGCTCAATTGAGTAGGGATCGCTTTAACGCTGAAAAGAAAATGCTTATGATCATTGCAATTAGCATGGCATATAGCAAAATTGAGGTTGCTGTTGGAAAACAGCCAGATAATTTAATGAGAGGCATTATTTTAAACGCGTTTTATGTTTGTTGCTATTATTATAAATTTCATCATTTTACTATTAAATTTTCTCATTTTGCCATTGGTTGTCAGACACTGATTAATTTTACATTTGTGGATAACCTACTGGGCATTTTTATGATTGATTAAAAATGGTTACAAATGATAGACAATGGATGGAAAATTGAGCTTGGTCTAGAAATTTTTTAATTAATTATTATTGCTTGGTATTTATTCTTTGTCGCTGTTCAGTTTTCATATTTAGTCTTTGTGCTACCTTCAAGGGAAGTTAAAAAAACCTTTTTTAGCTACTACATTCTATTTTAAAAAAATTAGTTTATATTTCGTCGCATTTTATTTTCTTAGTTCATATTTCATTAAATCAGTTCATTTGTTAGATTATAGTTTCAAAGACAATAGTTTTTAGTCTAAGGCGCTAAAGTTTACTATACTGAAGAATCTACAATTAAGATCCTCAGTATAAGATGCAGGTAAGGCCCTCTGCAGAGGATCTAAATTATAATAGCATTCCTTTGGATCATCATTAAGGATGTTTCCCATATCGTCACCAGTTGTCTACTGTGAAGCTCTAGTGCGACGTATATAAACTACAACAACTTATAAGTCATTTAAATATATTTACTTTCGCAAGATACATTTGCCGTCTCGTGCTCTTAATTAATGTTTAGAAACCTTAGTCAAGTAGATGAATTGGCAACATAATTCCGAGAAAGATAGCACGAGGATATATCCAGGGTAACAGCGGGATTCGAATCCGTTATCTGTATGCTACTCACAGCCTTTTGTGGTTAATACCTCTCGATCAAGGAGGTCTCCTATTTAAATTATAATATTTAATGTATTTCAAAACCGTTGCCACTAAGAAGAAAAATTCAACATTTTTTTGCGGTTATATTTAAACTATATATTAGAACTCCGGAACTGTTTTTGCTGTTCCTTTCGGATTGCTTCAACTTAGATTTGAAAAGAATACATTTAAATAAAATAATTATAAAATGAAAAAATTTAGAGAGCTTTATTGAAAATTTCCTGTAAAGAAAATTAAAATTATTTTTTCAATTTTCTTTTTCAGGGTTTGTGCTTGTATGAGCAGCATACTCTAAATGCTACTTCAACTAGTGAAACTATTAACGCTATTCTTGAATCTGGAAGGAAAGTTGGTAAAATAAATTATCAATCTGTATCGGAGAAGTGTAATTGTAATTCTGATGATATAAATGATCAAAAACCTGAAACTGAGCAGGAAACTAGTGTAACAAATGATCAAAATGATGTATCTGTCCAGAATGAAAATGTTGTTGATAGAACAAATGACGGAAAGCCTGATCAGAAGGTTTCTGATGCTGGTGAAACAGATGGTCAGAAGCCTAAACCTGATCAGAATGATCCTGATGCTGGTAATATAAATGATCAAAAACCTGAAAGTGACCAGGAAACTAATGAAGCAAATGATCAAAATTCTGCATATGATGCTGATAGAATAATTGAGGAAAAACCTGACCAGACAGTTTTTGATGCTGGTGAAACAAATCATCAGAATCCCTTACTTCACCAGAATGATCCTGATGATGGCGAAACGAATGAGAAAATCTCTGAATCTGTCCAGAAAACCTCGTATGCTGTTGAAACTAATGATCAAGATTCTGTACCTGACCAAAACGACTCGGGTGTTGCTGCAGAAAATGACCAGAATGCATCCGGATCATATTTTCTAAGCTGGTTTTGGTAGTTTAAAACTTTGAAACTTTATTTTGGAACTTAATTCGGACTAGTAAAATCCAAGAAATAAGTTGATGGAAACATTACTCCAAAAAAAATGGAAAGGGGGGGGGGTGCTGATCATCTCGAAGAAGCTACTAATGAAGATATATAAAAATTCGCGATCTGTGAAGTGCTCCAAAAAAAGCGGATTCACTTAAATAACTTTTGAACTAATGATCGGATCTAGGTTTCAATCTTAATGTTTCGAAGGGGGTGACCTCAAATATGCTAATTAATTAGGTCAAACGATATTTTAAGTTACGAAAACAGACACAAAAACGTACTTTCTCTGAGTAAACATACCTTTTTTCCGAAGGATTTTAATAACTGAACCCCAAAATATAAAGGTTTGCAGTAATCTAGAAAATAGGGTTCCCATCGTTTGATTAAGAGAGCACCCCAAAGTTTTAATCTCTTAACGTTAGTTTTAATTTTTGAAGAATTCACCCTATCTTCAGAACTTTTTTAACGGATTGAAACATTTTTGCACACAATTATAAAATTTGTTTATCCAAAGATAAATAAACTTTAGTTAATATTCATTATTTTTAATAATAGTCGAAAGAAATTTAAATCATGAAGTGTAAAAGTTTTTTACATTATTTTAAAGTAGGTAATTTTTCATCGCAAAATAAAGGATTTAAGCGAAATCGGTCGAATAGTCCTTGAGAAATTGAATTTTGAAAAAGTTGAATCTATAGTTGAATTTCGATTTCTTAGGAACAATTCGACCGTTTTCGCTTAAATTTTGTACTTTGCAATGTAAAATTACTTAAAATGAAGTAGAAAGAATAAATGTGATGTGATGTAAAAAAATTATGTAAAAATATACCATCCAAACTTAGAATTGCTCTCCTGACCAAGCTTAGGTGAGCATCTCTCTTCGCTTGCAGAAACTCCCCATTTTGAGGATCAAAAATCTGAATTTGTTTAAAAAAAAGACATGTTTATTCTGAGAAATTCATTTTTTTTTCTCTTCCTTTTGGTCTGATTTCATAACTTAAAATATCGTCTGCACTAATTAATTAACACATTTGAGGTCACTCCTCCCGAACTATTAAGATAGAGTCCTGGAACGAGAAGATCCGATCATTACATCAAAAATTACTCTGAAAAGTTCGTTTTTTTTCCGGCACTGTGCGAAGAATTTTCAATGCACCAACGAATTCAAAAAATTTTAACCATGCATTTCAATAAAAAAATAACATAATTCATATGTATGCGTTTCTTTTCACAATTTAAATTTGATTTAATTAATTATCAAATAAATTACAGCTATGTTTTTTTTTCATTGCTTATCCTTTTATAAAGCAACTAAATGGTTAAAAAGAACTAGTTATGCTACATTAATTCTTTTAGAATTTTATTCTAGTTTATAATCGGTGTTGAACAGTCGGGTCAATTTTGTTTTAAGAACTATCGATGCTCAATCAAAGAATATATATTATATATATATTCCTTGGCTCAATCCTACAGCTTTGAAACTCTGAACCCAACCCAAAAGACAATGGAACTACAGTCTACTTTGGAATAAACTTGCCTTCGTGAAGGCAGATCATTTTTGATGGAACTAATCCGTATTTCAAAAACCAAGAAAACCTCCAACGGTTATCCCAATGAAGCAGAATTCTTATAAGATTGGATAGTAGTGGATAGTAGAATTCTTATAAGATTAAAAAACAATTGATCATTGAATTCAATTCATGCTTTTGCAATGCATTGAATGCATAGAAATAATTTTTCTACAAGCAATTTTTATGTGTTAAAAATTATAAGTAGGATGCATAGCAGTTAAATTTTGTGAGGTACACAATAACTAACTAGACCACAGCAGAAAAAAAACCAAATATATCTTTTATTTATTAAAATGCATTTTATCAGAAAGAAATTTAAAACCATTGTTATATATATATATATATATATATATATATATATACATATA